CACTTTTTATATGATTTAGGATTACTATTTTTTAATGTTTATGTCTTCACCAATCTCACTTACACTAATTCATTATGTATAAAAGGTCTTGCTTGGTAATTATCTTAGCTAGTACCTGAATACCTGATTGATGTAATTGCTTTGAATAACTAGTTGTAATAGCAAGTTTGACTAAGGGCCTGTTCTCATTGACTGAACTGAGCTGAACTGAATTGAACTGAACTGAAATGAATATTTTATAGGGGTGGGACTTTTCAAACCGAACCGTAAAACCGTCCGTTACCGAACCGAACCATCACGGACCGAACCGTTTATAACCCGCTAATTTTAAACCGAAAACCGAACTGAACCGTATAATGTCAAACCGAAATCGAACCGAACCAATTAATGTTAACCCGTTACGAACCGTAAACCAATAACAAACCAAACCGTTTGAACCGATTAATGTTAACCTGCTAACTAATTAAACCGAATCGTTTATAAACCGAAACCGTTTAAACCGTAGGAAAAAACCGTTTAAATCGAACCATTTACAACCCGCTAACCGTTTAAACCGAACTGTTATAACCCATTAAACCGTTTAAACCGAACTATTTTCAAACCGCAACCCGTTTAAACCGATCCGATTACAAATTATTTAAACCGAACCGTTTACAACCCGTTCCATTCAAATTGAACTATTTACAGCCTTTAACAATTTGTTAGAATTCCACGAAATATATTTTTAACAGTACAATTTTTTTTACATATAATTATTGATTTAAATTTGTAAATTTTTTTGCTATTATAAAATTAAAATTATATTCTTGTATAACTAAATTAGGAGTTATAAATTAAATAAAAAAATGAAAAAATTTGGCCACCCACCCAATCCAACCACCCTCCACCCACCCACCACCGTAACCCACCCTAACACCACCCCCGCCGTCACCCCAGACCCACCCTAACACTACCCCCCACCCACCACCATTACCGTAACCCACCCCACCACCGTTACCGTAACCCACCCCCACCCCACCAACGTCAACCCAGACCCACCCTAACACCACCCCCGCACCCACCATAATTACCGTAACCCACCCCACCACCCACCGTAAATAAAAAAACCCAGACCCAAACCTTACCCCACCCCATCCACCACCGTCACCGTAAATAATAAAAACCCAGACCCATACCCCACCCCACCTACCACCATCACCGTAACGTACTCCACCCCACCCCACCCCACCCACCACCGTCACTGTAAAAAAAAAAAAAAAAAAAAAAAAAAAAAAAAAAAAAAAAAAAAAAAAAAAACCAGACCCAACCCCAACCACACCCACCACCGTCACCGTAACACACCCCACCCCACCCCATACAAAAAAATCGAAAAAAAAACCCAAACCCACCTTAACCCCACCCCCACGAAACCCAACATCCTCGAAACCCCCCAACTCACTCTAATTGCTCACCCACCATAAAACTCCCTCCCTCCCTCGAAAAATCCTCCCTCCCCACCCACCCGAACCCAGTCTAACCGCCGCCGCACCCACCCTAACTCGGCCCCCTCCGTTGCACAACTTGAAAAAAAATTAAAAAGAAAAACAGAAAATAAAAAAAAGAAGAACGAAAACACCTTATATATTAATCCTGAATTTGGCCTCAAATTTGGTTTGAAAAGGCCAAATTCGATCATGAAACAACTAGATCTAGAGTTTCGTGGTCGAATTTGACCATAAAAACCGTCGTGCGTGGTGCCGGTGGACGGAGACGGAGAAACGAGATGGAAGAAAGGAGAACATAGACGGAAGAAGGGAGAAGAAGGAAGAAGAATAAAGGAAGAAGGAAGAGGAGATGAGAGAGAAAACGAGAGAGCAGTGAGCATATTAGCAGCCATGGCTTCAAAAAATTGATAATATTACAGAAGAGGATTAAGAAAACGAGAGAGAAATCAAAAAGAGTACTAAAGAGACGATGGTAAGAGTGATCTGATTGGTGGAAAAGAAAACACACGGATCGTGAATTGGAATGTGTGCGATGATAGGTCGTTAGATGACATGCAAATCAATGGCTGATATTTAATATAAGACGGTGACACGAATCATGGGATAATGGATTTGGATAATATGTTTTTTTTTATTCATAGCTACGTACTAATAAAAACACTACTGTACTCTTAACTTTATGTAACTTATAAATTGTAAGAAACACAAATGTTTGGAAATTGGAATTGATTCAATATGACATATTTAATGTATATTAGTTATATGTATATCAGTATATGTAATAAATAATAATGTATGGTACGATTGGTATCATACTATCATTGGTATGTATAGATAATCGATAAATGTATCTGATTATTAAAACTTAAAACAGTTGATGATCGATCTAATTGAATACTTCTACTTCCCCACCCGTTTTCTTTAACTTGCAAGTTGCAACATATATATGTTGCAGCCTTGTAGGCACGTAATCTTAAAAGGTGATTAGAGAGGGTAAGACAACAAAGTAATTCAGCAATATAACTTTAACACCAAAATTATGGAATAGTTACAAACAATTGTCAATTATTACTTTATTAGACTAATGGGAAATTGAATAATCGTGATTTTAATTAAACATCCAAATATAGTTCCGTAACATTAAATTATTAGTTTATTACAATATCAATTATCGATTTATCGTATTCAAAGTACCAATTCATCAAATCATGGTTATGACGCGATCTTTAAAACAAGAAGCTGATAGCCTGATAATATTTGATAATGAAACAATAATACATTAATACCTTATAAATTTGTAATAGACTAATATTTAATAAACAACAACAAGACTATAACCAAATTTGAAACATAACACATTAACATGATATAGAATGAATGAGAATTTCTGTAATTCTATATAATCTGATATTTGAATCGATTTATCGTATTCAAATTAGCAACTCATCAAAACATGGTCATGACACGATATCTAAAACAATCCAACAAGAAGCTGATAACCTAATAATATATATTTAATAATGAAACAATAATACATTAATACATTATAAATTTGTAATAGACTAATATGATAATATCGAATAAACAACAACAAGAGTATAACCAAACTTGAAACATAACATATTAACATGATATAGAATAATTGAATAAATGAAGATTTGTGTAATTGTATATAATCCGATGTCTGAAAATAAAGTGACGAAGTCCCAACTTTATATAAAACGAAAATAGCTAACCGGTCAAAAATCTCTTAAAACCCAATTTCTACTCGATCCATTATTTTTTTCACCAACCTATGCCGACCCGCTAATGAAATGGAAATACTAGTCCCAACTTGATATAAAACAAAACGCGCTAACTGGTCAAAACCACTTTTTAGAACTCGATTTCAACCCGATCCAATTTAACCGATTACCAAACTAACCCGAACGATTTTAGCACCAAACCGAGTATAAACCGAACCGATATGAATCGAACTAGCATTAACCCGGGTAAACCCGCCCCTGAACCGACCCATTTTAAAATAATCCGTTCATGACCCGAACCGATATGAACCCGGACCGACGTTAACCCGGTAAAACCGCCCCTGAACCGATCCGTTTCTAACCGGTCAGATCATGACCCGAACCGTTTATAAACCGAACGGGCATTGACCCGGGTAAACCCGCCCCTGAACCGACCTGTTTCAAACCGACCCGATTATTAACCGAACCGTTTAAAAACCGAACCGGCATTGACCCGAGTAAATCCGCCCCTGAAGCAACCCGTTTCTAACCGATCTGATTATGACCCGAATTGTTTATAAACCGAACCGTTTATGACCCGAACCGAATTTAAATCGTACAAAAATAAACCGAAACCGAACCGACCTGTGACTAATCAAAACCGAACTGAACCGACCCGCCGTCTAAATGAAACCGTTTTAACCCGAACCGTTTCAAACCGAAACCGTTTCAAACTGAGGTCAAACCGAACTGCCAGACCGAAGTCCCACCCCTAATATTTTATAAGAGAAGGAAATTAGGAGCTGAACTGAACTGAGCTGAACTGAGCTGAACTGAATTGAATTGAAATGAATATTTTATAAGAGAAGAAAATTAGGAGCTGAACTGAACTAAACTGAACTGAACTGAATTTCAACGTAAGAAAATAGGCCCTAACTACATTGAATAAATGTGAAATATTTAATAACCTAATTAAAAAAAGCTCACGTTTTGAGCCCAAAAGCTAGCTTACCAAACACACAAATTAGCCTTTTTCATTATGGTCAAATCTCTAATAGGCTCAACGACATATAAGTTAAAAGCTCTCTTAGGAGCTAGCTCTTTACCAAACACACAAATTTCACTTGTACTAATTATTTTTTATCCATCCCTCTCTCTTTTTCTCCCACAAACAATTTAAAACACCTTCATATCAACTCCACTTGCATATTTTTTCAATTCATTTTCAAACTATCGCAAATCATTATAAAACTATATGCAGTAGACACAAATGTTGTAAGTATTTAGAAACAGATCCGAGTCCAGGAGTAGTAAGTGTCAACAAAAAGATGCATGATATAAGTATGTATCATTCAATTGACACGAATACATGATGGATGTCCACGATTTGTGGTATGATATACCCTACTTCTTCCCACAGTAAGGCAAAAACTCACATGCTATGTTTCCATCCACCATATCAAACTCGTCCTAATCAAACTTCCACCAATTAATCACAAGAATATTAGCCGTTTGATCTTGATTATGTGTACCCCACGCATTCTAATTAAAACTTTATATTATAATAATAAGTTAATATATTAGCATTTCATATGTTTTAATTTGTTACATATGTTTTAATTATTAAAAATAAATAAAATATTATTTAAATTTTCCTTAACACAAAGGATGGCCCACTTTTGCCTCTCATGTGACCGACCACTTCCCACTCTTTGACCTGTCCTTTGATCATTCCATGCCTTCTCTTCTCATTTTGTATAAAAACCAATTTATTTGCCATTTTTATGAACGAACTCATTATTATTCAACTTCATCACATAAACATATAATTCATAACTTTCCTTTAACATAATAAGAGCAATCTAATTAAGCTAAGAAAAATGTCGAAAGCGGGATTCGAACATGAGATCACTGAGCTAAGGCTAGGGCTTCCTGGTGGAACTAGGGTTTCATGTGACAAACAAGGGGAGGTCAAAAGTAATGAGAAGAAGAGGGTGTATTCCGAGCTAGGTGGTGGTCGGACCGAGAAAGTGGCGGTGGCAAGTAATAAAAGCCCGGCAGTCGGGTGGCCGCCCGTGTGCTCCTATAGGAGGAGGAGCATTGGTAGTGAGAAGGAATGCCAAGAGGCTTCTAAGAGGTTGATCAAGATTAGCATGGATGGTGTACCTTTTCTTAGGAAAATTGATGTTAATTGTTATCAACAGTATTCTGATCTTGTTGCTGCTGTTGAAAATCTCTTTAGCTGCTCTGGCATTAGTAAGTTACTTCTTCATTTTCTACTCCTTTATTTTTTGTACCAGAGTGAATACACAAGATTTATCCAATCTGCTAAAAAAGATAATCATGACATTTCAACAAAAGTGAAATTTATACTCGCAAAAAGTTATTTTATATATTTTTTTTATTTATTAAAATGCACAACATTGTTGCAATCCAATGGAAAATAGTATTATTGTCTTTAAAACCGACTCTTAATTTATTATTTAAAGATAAGATATACTCGTATATTCGAAAATATGGCTCATTTTATTTATTTATTTGTCGAATAAATATTAGAACTTTTTATTGATGAACATAAAAAGATAAGATATACTCTAATAAGTTTGTTTGTATGTTGTTTTCATTTTTGTGATAATATTGTATACTTCATAACATATATTAACGTGCTTTAATAAACAATTGATGAACATAAAGATTTTCAGAAGAAAAGTTCAATTGAATATACATTTAAATATACTACTAGGTATATTATTTCATAATTTATACCCCTCCTTAAATTTTAGTTAGGTGAAGGTCAATGTCTCAATGATTAGATTAGCTAGCTAATTAAGATGTTTTCCTTTTCAATTAGCTAATTAATTTGATTTCACATGTGCATAGAGCCGTATGCAAGTCCATGCAAAAACAATAATATTATATATTTTGATTAATTTCCTATGCTTAAATTACAAACATCCTGCTCACACTGGATGTTTTGAATTCGAGGCATTGTTTCAAGACCAACCAACCAAATCCATAAATTACTCCTTACATAAATTACTTCATCCGTTTATTTTTAGTTACAACGTTTTAACTTTTACATTGTTTATAACACTATGTTGTGATTATCTTTGATGATTTTTAGTACAGTAGTTAACTAATTATAGTCTTGTGTAATCTTGTTTGATATGTCCTAATTAATGTATACTTTTAAAACTTCAATTTTTTTTTTACTATATTATTTACATACAGTAACAAGTGTTAAATAAGGCACGTTGCATTTATAATTAAACCAATGAAGTATAAAAATGAAGCAGTTTAGTTACCAAAGTGAATATAAACATTTACACGAGTCGAGATTTTAAGATAAACCTATTCCAATCAGTAATGAAATTGTAATCCATATAAAGAGCAAAAATATGCAATCATTTTGCTCTTAACAAATAAATTCGATATTTGATCCTCCAAATTACAAGGAAATTATAAAGTTGCTAATTAATTTTGTATATTAAATAACAGAAGAGGCATTGGAAGATGCAGACAATTCTGAGTACATTCCTATTTATGAAGACAAAGATGGAGATTGGCTGCTTGTTGGGGATGTCCCATGGAAGTAAGTTCTTACCAATCATAAACTAATGCAATTTTAAATTAAATTTACTCTAGCTTATATTGTTCTATGTAGTACGGAGTAGTATAATTTGTTTCCTTAGATGATTTAAAATATTTTTAAGAAAATATTACTTTTTTTGATTAACACAATTCTCCTCTCTAGTCATGTTTTTCATTGCACGATTTCAATCACCAATATCTCACTTATTAATATAAATTGTAATATAGGTTGTTATTTGAATGTTTCTACAGCGGTCGTTTGCAATATGACTACCTTAATATTTTAATGATAAATTATATGAGCGATCCATTTTTTCACATTATAAATTGGACACAATTAGTATTCTAATTTCTACAATGCAAATATAATTTTTTCAAAATTTTAATCCAACATAAAATAAATATTTTTCGAGAAACTACAAAATAAAAGTAAAAATTACATAAATAAAACTAAAAAATTGATAAATTAAAAAAATGTTGATAATAATATTTTATAGCAAAAATAGAGTAATATAATTAATTACTTGAATAAAAATACTTTAATTAAGAATTATATAATCATTAAAATATTATGATAGTCATATTTCAAACGACCACTATATAATTTTCATTGTTATTTACTGTATTAGTTAAATGTATTGGGAAAAATCTAATAAGATTTCACATTAGTATACTTTTATCATCTTAAGTATAAATTACTAAGTAACTTTTATGTATGTGAATAGTTTTAAAGTCAAAATGTGTAAACTAGTAAAAAAATACTAGTAAAAAAAACAGTGAAGTATATAATGCATTAAATTAGAGATATTTTTATATCTTTACTTTGTTCTTAATAATGACCTATATGAGAAATGATTCAAATGAATAATGTTTTAACATTGATGGCTTATTTGATACGGAGTACTTAAGATGTTTGGTAATAACTTCTTCATGGTTTTTTAATGGAAAAAATAATACTCCGTCATTAATAATAAGTTATAAAAGTATTTAAAATAATTATTAAGATCTGTAAATCATGAATTTAAAAAATTATATTACTTTAATGCCCAAAACAACAAATTTAAGCATACGCATAAGTGCACAACTCCATTATACCACTTCATGACACGAGCAGTGTTATTCGATGTCTTTACATCTTTTCAAATAGAGGCCTTACATTGCGATTTTGTTTCTATACTGATTTAGATTGAATATTGATGAAAACCCTAAACCCTTTGATTTCACATCATAACTTCTCTATGAGTAACTACCTAAAAACTTTGTGATTAAGAAAGGTCTCTCGCAAGGAGAGGAGAATAATGAATGGTAATGAATATGCTTGCAATTTCACATGTGAAAATGAATGTCTATATAAATAATATAATAATACAAAATTTCTATTATGTACTGGCCTACTGCCTCGACTCCAAAATTGAAAGTGTCGGTCTAGGAAATTTTATTTGACAAAACCATATCTTTTCTTTGTACTAGTACTACTTATTGTTTTTGGCTTGTTTGATAAGGGGCTTTAGCTAAATTGTGGTACGAGTAATAAGTAATAATCACAAATTGATATACAATTATCTTCATTAATTTTTTCAAAGGGATTAGCCATAACATTAACAAATGTTGGAGATAGAATTTCAATATCATGGTTGTCATAATCCTATAAAATTTTATTACTAACAAAAGTCACATGAAATTTATTTTCATCATGTTAAAGGAGCATGGCTATTTTTGTATAGTAAATTTTTTTTATCTTTCTATACATCTAGTTGTAGTGACGAATGATAATACTCCCTTTGTTTTTCTCTGTTACCATTCTGGATATAATTTTTAATTTCTTGCCTAAAAAATTATAAAAGAGACTCATTTTTCACTAATTCTTGCATTTCTATGGTACTAATATCAATCATAGGCAGACTTAGTTAGGGCAGCTTGAGTAATGCGTGACACTTCATGTTTAATAAAATGTTACAAGTACATTAAAACGAAGAAATTACTATCTCCGTTACATATTATTTGCAACAATTTGACATAAAATATAAAGGAAAAATATCTAATCGTTACAAATAGTATATAACAGAGGTAGTAAATAAAAACGGACTAACCTAGTAGCAAAGCATATGTAAAACAATGGAATTACTTTAAATCCAAACTTTAATCAACTTTAATTCACATAACTTTTCCTCTTTTTAGGCTGTCTTCACTTTCAAAGCAGTATCTTGTGCTTATAACTTGCCGTATAAAAGGCTTACTTAACAAAAGTTAACCAAATAAAGCATTTGTAGTAAAGTTTTATGGACCACATTTTGCCGACATACTTAAAACTCCGCATAATTTCTGTCCATCATTTGTCAATTCAACAACCTTATTATATACTTGGTACATACGAAGTATTATTATTTCATATACAGCAAGGGCGTACAATTTTGTACCATTATAACATCTATACATTGTTGCGAGTAATATTTAACACTCGTATCATATTTTAAAAGGCCATGTATATTTTTTATTGTGATTGTTTATACTATGGAGTAGTAAATTCTCGATTATAATGCTTTGAGTATTGAGAAATCATCTCACTAATAATCGTGAGTACTCTCTCTATGCGAAAATAATGTGATTAACTTTGAAGCATGCAAAGTTGCATCGTTAGGTTTTTTAAATAAATTAATTTAATTAATTAATGTACTAAAGAGAATTTTTATTTTGATTTGCACAGTATGTTTGTAGAATCATGCAAGAGGCTGAGGATAATGAAAAGAGCAGACGCAAAGGGCTTTGGTTTGCAATCTAAGAAGCATTGCCATGGATGAAATTGCTACTTTTGAACGACGAAAATCAAAGAAATTAAGAAAAACCTACGAAAATTATTGTAGACTTTATTATTATTATTATGAATTATTACTAAAAAATATATACATATTAGATGCCTTATATAGAAAAAAATTCTTGATACATGGCTGTTTTTGTTATAACATAATTACTTTGTGTTTATTTATTTTTTAGCTAGCAATTCATTTACGAAGTACTAGCTAGATATCTATATGTTTCTTTATTCATTATGATGAAAATGTTAATTTACAACCCATTTAGAAAAATATTTATAGCTATAGTTCTTGTTATGTGCTGTATTGTAGAGTATTATTTGTTATAATAAGATTGGGTATGTTATGTTAAAGCACTAGTATAATCGACTAAGATATTTGTAGTACATATATACTTGATGATTTATCCAAAATATTAAACGTACAATATTTAGCTGTCAATTCGAGTAAACGGGTTGGATAAGAGTGGGTCGGGTCAACTCGGGTTGGGTCAATTCAGATTAATTCCATAATCTATGTGGGTCGGGTTTGGGTTGGGTCATGCTTGAGTCGGGTCATTTCGGGTCATACTTCTTGTCGGGTTTATGTCGGGTTAATAACAGGTCAGGTTACATTGGGGTCGGGTGAACAATAGGTGGGGTTTAATTCGGGTTTTCACGGGTTAAAATGGGTTAGGGTAATTCTCGGGTTCGAGTTAGGTTCGGTTCAAGTCAATAATTTGCGGGTTAGAATCAAGTCAGGTCATTCTCGGGTTTGAGTCGGGTTCGGTTCAAGTCAATAACTTGCAGATTATAATCAAGTCGGGTCATTTTCAAGTCAGGTTATTTTCGGGTTCAAGTCGGGTTCGGTTCAAGTCAATAATTCGCGGGTCATAATCAGGTTGGGTCATTTCCAAGTCGGGTCTGTATACCCGAATATTTTATAATTTTAAATAATATATTTTATAAAAAAAAAGTTTATTTTTTTATTTGTTAAATAATAACTTTCCTAATCTCATATTTTTATTTTAGAGTTCGAAAATGTTTAAAACCCTATTTTAATTTTTTTAGGACTCTTATTTAATCTATATTATCTATTTTAAACCCTAACTATTATACATGTTATGTTACTTCATTATTTTTTCACCCCTTTTTGCCGTTTTGTTCCTCTGCGTTGGAACAAGCAAACCTTAAGTCATATTATCAAGCTTAATAAATCTTTTAGGCTTTTTACTATTATCGTGTGATAATATTATGATTCAATGGCTTGCGTTTCTCATTAATCAAGGTCAATATTTATACAAGAGTTCCCTTGAGCTCCAAGGAAGATAAACTTAAACTAGGAAACTAAATTATCCTAGCATAAGATAATAACATAAATATAGCTAGGAATTATATCTTGCCTAACTATAAGATATTGCAAATATTCTATCATATCTTCCTAACACCCCCCCTCAAGTTGGAGCACTTGGATCAAAGATGCCCAACTTGCTAAGAAGGTAATCAAATTGCGGTTTTCCTAAAGCCTTTGTAAATATGTCTGCTAACTGTTCATTCGTTTGAACATGATGAGGAACAATTAGACCTTCTTGAATGGCATCCCTTACAAAATGACAATCAACTTCTATATGTTTCGTTCTCTCGTGGAAAACCGGATTTTGAGCAATGTGAATTGCGGCTTGACTATCACAAAAAACCGGTATAGCTTGAGGATGATGCACGCCCAAACTTAAGAGAAGACCCTTTAACCACTTCATTTCCATTGTAAGGGCCGACATTGAACGATACTCAGCTTCCCCAGAAGAAGTTGCAACCGTGGGTTGCTTTTTAGATTTCCAAGCAACCGGTGAGTGACCCAAGAAGACCAACCACCCAGATAATGAGCGACGAGTGAGGGGGCATGCTGCCCAGTCGGAGTCACACCACCCATTGAGGGTGAGGTTGCTGTCGGACCGCAAAAGAATGCCTGGAGTACTCTTCAAGTATCGAACCACTCGAGTTACTGCCTCCCAGTGAGCTTGCTGCGGGGCTTTCAAAAATTGCGAGAGTACATGCACGGAGTAGGTAAGGTCAGGCCGAGTGACAGCCAAATAGACCAAGCGTCCAACCAACCTTCTATAAGGTTCGGGGTCTGCCAGCAGGGGACTTGTGTTGCGCGCCAAACGATGGTTCTGTTCCATGGGAGTGGCGGCTGGTTTCGAACCCAATAGACCCGTCTCCGAAATTATATCCAATGCATATTTGCGTTGACATAGAAATAAACCCGAGCTACTTCGCGCAACTTCAATGCCAAGGAAGTATTTTAGAACACCTAAGTCCTTCATATGAAAACAAGTGCTCAAGTAATTTTTGAACAATTTCAAAGCCATAGAATTGTTCCCTGCAACAATTAAATCATCCACATAAACAAGGACATTAAGTTGAACCGACCCCTTTGTGAAAGTAAAAAGGGAGTAATCCGAGTAGGATTGTATGAAACCATATTCCTTTAATGTCGTAGTGAGTTTGGCAAACCAACACCTAGGAGCTTGTTTGAGGCCGTATAAAGATTTTCGAAGACGACAAACAAGACCCGGTTCATCTGTGGTAAGCCTGGGGGAAGATTCATGTATACTTCCTCATGTAAGTCACCGTGAAGGAATGCATTGTGAACATCCATCTGATGCAATTCCCAATTCTTTGAGGCGGCAATAGCAAGAAAAGCACGAACCGTGGTCATCTTGACAACTGGGGCAAAAGTCTCATCATAATCAATGCCTTCGGTTTGGTGATTACCAAATACTACCAACCTTGCCTTCAAGCGTTCAATACTTCCATCAGAGTTGTATTTTATTTTGTACAACCATTGACTGCCTAGAGCCTTTTTCCCGGGAGGGAGTTTCTCCAAGGTCCATGTGCCATTATTTTCTAGAGCACGCATCTCTTCTTTCATAGCCAATTTCCACCCATCATCTTGCATTGCCTCTTTGAAAGATCGAGGTTCTGTGCCACCTGTTATAGCTGCAACAAAATTTCGGTGTTTCGCAGAAAACTTATCACAACTAACATAATGTGCTATAGGATACGGCATACCTGAGGGAGGTGGGGAGATTGGATTGAGTGATGCTTCGGATGGACTATTTCGAGCCACATGAGTATGAGTGACAAAGTCGTCCCTGTATTTTCTCGAGGGAATTTTTGTGCGGTGGCCACGCCCCATTAAGGGAGGAGTCGTGGCCCCCACATCTTCTTCGTGAGCTGCTGCCTTGGTTGGGGAGGAGGGGCAGCAGCCTGGTCGTGTGTGATGGGGGCACGAGGAGGCTGCCACTGCCCATCATCACCATCATCAATGATGGGAAAATTATCCATATTTCCCCCTAAAAAAATTGTGGCATTTAACTCATCAGTTGTAGTATCAATGTTAGTGGTTACGGCATCCAAGTATGGGTATATATCCTCAAAAAAACGTACATCACGAGACACAAAAAATTCCCGTTTGTCTAAGTCAAATAAATACCAACCTTTCTTCCCAAAGGGATACCCAACAAAAACACATTTTCGACTACGACTTGCAAACTTATCACCCTTTGCCTTTTGATTATGAGCAAAACACAATGAACCAAACACACGAAGTTCATTAAATAAAGGTGGGGAGCCAAACAACATTTCATAAGGAGTTTTGTTTCCTAAAAGGATAAATGGTGTACGGTTTATGATGTGAGTGGCCGCTAAAGCACATTCCCCCCAAAAAGAAATTGGCAACCCCCCCTGAAAACGAAGGGCACGAGCAACATTAAGTATGTGTTGATGTTTTCTCTCTACCCTCCCATTTTGTTGAGGTGTTCCTACACATGAGGTTTGAAACAAGATACCCTGGGCAAGAAAATAATTTTTCATACAAAAAAATTCGATGCCATTGTCACTCCTTACAATTTTTATTTTCTGAGAAAATTGTCTATCAATCATGGCAATAAAGGACAAAAATATTTTAAACACCTCTGTTTTATTATTCAATAAATATATCCACACTGCACGAGAATAATCATCAACCAAGGTTAAAAAATAATGTGCTCCACAAGAAGAAGGTTTGTCATATGCCCCCACAAATCACAATGCACAATCTCAAAAATACGAGAAGCTTTATTGGTACTTAAAGGAAATTTGTCTCTAGTGTGTTTAGAACGATGACACACTTCACAATCTTTATTTAAATGACCACTAGAATTACTTAGGAAAGGTGGGTGGTTGGCGGGGGTCGCATTGGCTTTGACAGGTGCAGATCTCCCACGGCCAGCCCCCTTGTTTTCATCTTTCAAACCATACTTCTCAATATACCATGCAGGAACACCATGCTTATCAAAACATGTAGTTGAATCGTGACCCTTTTTGTTACAATACGTGCACACCAAGGCTGCTCTTTCGGCACGGGACAGACGCGGCTTGGTGTTGGGTTCCATTCGAACGGCAAACCCAGCCACCTCGGGCGGCTCTTCTTTGATGTTCGCAATACCCCGAACACGTTCTTCTTGGGCTATGGTTTGGAAGGCTCTATTCAATGTTGGCAGCGGATCTTGCGATAAGAGCGTGGAGCGAAGGGCAGCATAGTACTCCGAGTAAAGACCAAGAAGGAACTGTTGCAGCCGGTCTCCTTCTTGGCGGTTTGCGTGCTGCTTCCCCACATCACAAGTGCATTTTCCACACTTGCATCCAATCAGTGGCTCATGTTTATCAAGCTCATCCCAAAGAACCGATAGCTTGCTAAAATACACCGCGACTGGCATTGATTTCGATTGCTCGCAGCGATTAATCTCTGATTTAATTTGTTGAATGCGTGGTCCATTAACAAGACTGAACCGTTCCTGCAAGTCATCCCATAGCTTTTTGGCATTATCATAATTTGACAGCATAGTACGGACCTCCGGATCAATGGTGTTCATAAGCCATGAGACGAGCATGCAGTGTATCGTAACCCAATCATCTTTTGTGCAAGGAGAAGCATAGCTCGTGATTGTGCCATCAAGAAAACCAAATTTGCGTCTTGACGACAATGCAATATAAATTGCGTGAGACCATTCATTGAAATTGTCAAGTTTAAGTCTTTGAGAAGTGATAAAATCACCCGGACGATCTTGAGGTCCAAGGTAATAGGGAGAATTAGGCTCGATTTTAGTAGGCGGCGGTGGTGTGTCGGCCATGGTGGTCGAAAAAAAAATTTAATTTTATTATTGAAGGAACCTTAGCTCCGATACCATGATAATATTATGATTCAATGGCTTGCGTTTCTCATTAATCAAGGTCAATATTTATACAAGAGTTC